GTTGAAGTTAGAGCAGCATGCAGGAGAAGTGCTGAAATGAAGAATCCATGAATAACCTGAACAGAGTTTCTATTCCTGGAGCTCACAGCTGACTATAGAAAAACTTTTAAAGATTAGAGGAAAGGTTTCTTACTGAAGAAGGAATTTTTTATATTATTAGTTTGTGCATTCCTGGATTAGGCTTTTCAGTTTTTTAAAGATGCCTCCATCATGTTACAACATACATACTCTTTCTACAAAGCCTTAGGTCCAGGAGAGGAATGTGTAAGTATTTGCCTTATTCATAATCTTTCTTAGAAGTCCTGCAAGATAAAAAAGAAATGCATATATGTTGCATGATAATTTGATCCAGGTACTTTACAGGTCTTAACTTATTATATACTGATGAGCAGCATTTTGTGAAGTAGTTAAGTGGATATTGATCTTGTTTTTTTGAATTGAAGAAGGTGGTGGCCTGAAAGATAAAACCAGAATAAGTGGGGAAAAAAAAAATCTTGCCCCAAAACGCTTAAACAGAAAATTATTGAAAAAAAGTGTCATTATGCATTATGAATCTCAGACAGAGAAAAAACTACTTGGAGTGCTCTTTTGACTGAAGTTGACAGTATTCCAGCAGCAGCAAAACGTACTTGGCAAAGCCAGATCAGCACTAAAACATTGTGTTACATGTACTGAATTTTACTGGTGGAATTACATTATCACATTTGAACTGATCCCTGTTGCTTGAAAGCATCAGGATTTTGTTGTGTATCCCAGAACTCAGATATGTACATGATGTAGTTGCTCAGTGGGGAAAATCTGGTTAAACTGAATGTAACTGATTAGAGCACACTTGCAGATATGGAAGTTAAAATTACTTGTGTTGGTGTCTACCATTTCTTTGAGGAGTAAACATAATGGAGTCAAACCTCCAATTTAATCTGTAGTCAGCAGGGTTCTAATCTCTTCAGCAAGACTTCACTGGATTTTTAGTTGGTTGCCTCAACCATTCTGCCTTTCCACATTCGTGGAACCTTTGCTGTACTAGTAAGAGAGTCAGTGCTGATGACTTGCTCTGGCCATGGAAAGTAAGAGTATGATATTACTCTCACTGTAAACCACAGGTCCTGTGGTGAGGCCTCTCCAGCCACTGACTGCTCTCCGTTCTCGAAAGTCACCACACCATGGGAAATTGGTGGGAGAGTGTAGCCCAGGGTGTTGAGATCTCATGATTTCTCTGATATTAAGATCCTTTCAGGGATCGCTTAGTACCACAGAAGACAGAGTACCTTGATCTTTCCTTCACATTAAAGAGCAATTATGTATCATATATAGTAGGTGCAGTCTTCCTGACATACTGCTGATTTTTGTAGACAAAATCCACAAAAAAATGCGTACTCTCCATAGTGTGGGAGAACATACTGCTGAGAAGGTCAATCATGATTCATTATATAGACATTGAAACTTCTTTTCATCACGTTTTCGGCTTGTGTCTTTTCATATACTCTTAGTTGCCACTTCTCAAGTAAGCAGCTAAAATAGTAGCTGAGCTGTAAATAATAGTAAAACCCCTCTAAAAACAGTTTTGCTGTTAAAGTGAAGGCCTATTTTAAAGTTTTTGTGATTTTCCACTGTTCCTTCTTTAGTGCTAAGAGAGAACAAGGAATTCCCATCTTCAGTCATGTACATGCTTTGGTAAAAAGCTTAATCCTTCAGTGGTAAATATTAAATGTTTTCTTTGAGTTTCCCAGCACCTTTAAGTCCTTCCATCAACTTCTTGGATTGCACCCACTGCACCTTCTCCAAGCACACAAGATAAACACAAAAGATTTCATGAAATGAAACGAAATTATTTAACAGGGAGGTTTTCTGGGAAGTATTTGAAGACCCATAACAATGCACAGCACAATTACAAAATCTATCCAAGTCACCCTCTGAAAGCACAGCACCCTCTTAAAGTATCACAGACAGCTTTGGTTGCCCAGCTATCCTCACCTACAACAAAGCAATGGGTTAGAAAAGAAGAACACAGATGCATTAGCAATCCTCAGAAACCTCTGTTCTCCTTGCTTGGTACCGTAAATGACTTAGATACTGTGTATTGAAACTGATTGCAAAATCCATACCGTGAATCAAAGCTCCTTAAGAGCTTCATGCACATCCTTGCACGGAAGGGTAATTGCCAGTGCTCTGAGCTTCTGTCCTGGAAGTCTAAATTAAGAACAAGCCTCTGGGCTGCTGCTAGGCCTGCAGTAACTTCTCAGGCTTTGTCCTCCCTCTGTAACCAGCTGACCTGAGCTGCCCCCAGAATGCAAATCCACTGTACCGTGCTGTCAAAACAAATTACTAAATATCAGGCAGCACCACAGAGGAGACAGAAGCCAGGATCTTAACAAAAGTAAAAGGTTGCTCTCTCATGCTTGCTGAGGAATTAAAGTAAACTAAATGCTTTGGTGGGAGGGAAACACTCGCCTTTCACCAAATGCTGCCCTGAGACTTGATCCAGAAAGTAATCAGGTCTCCCATGAGGAGACAGAGTGAGATGTGAAGAGACAGAGTGAGATGTAATGAGACTCTGCCCACGTATCGAAGAAGTGCACTCAACACACAGTGCGTGCAGGCCTTAGGAAAAGGACTTGGAGGGAAGAATTTTCTGTTCACATTGTTCATGGCAGAGGCTGGGGACACGTACAAACCGGGGAGGAAATTTATGCAAAGAGTGAGAACTTGCTACCTTGTTTCTCCTCTGATATGGGCTGAAGCATGTTGAGAACCCTAGGTGCTTAATGATTGCAGGGCTGCAAGAGGAGTCTTCATCTGCATCAGTCATGGCACTGGGATCCACCTTGGGCTCTGGGCACACTTTTTTTGGCTTTCCCTGTGTCACCTGCTGCCACTGCCCCGACTGTGGTGGCAGCAGATGTGGACAGGGCAGCTCTGGTGTCACCAGGTCCCAAGCACCACCATGGTTATGTACCTCCTCCTCCTTGTTGCTCACTGCTCTGTGATGGAGCTGTGTGTGCTGCTGGGGTGATTTGATCCAGTGGTTAAACTGACTTTTTATAAGCACTGTGCCTAGACGCCTTTGGGAGAAGTGGGTGAGAAGATGGGACAGGACACTGAGAATGCTGTTTGAATAATAGAAGAATAGCCTCTGGTTAAATTTGTGCTGATAATCCCTAGGGAGCTAATACTGCTTTCAGTTACATGATTTCTTTTTTGCTTCACCTGGGAGTATCTCCCTCACCTCCCACATACTACTTGCACCATCAATTCCTTAGAACCTTCTCTGTTGCTTTCTTATAGGGATGCTCGCTGGATCTGAATCCATTAGTGCTTAGTGATCTAGATATTTAAAGCTTACTGGTTAGGTTATACTCCTACATTCTTCTACTTAAAATATTTACAAATGAAAAGTAAGTTAATTTAAAATGCCACTAAGTTAAGCTGATTCTACTTGCTTGAACTAATATCTCTGTATAGTTCATCAGAATTAAACAAAACATGTGGATATGGATGTTTCAGCAGAGAAACAGACAGAATAATAAGGAAATCTCATTTCCATTTTTAAAAGTCCTAATTATCCTGGCAATTAAGAGGGAATCAGTTTTCCAGTAAAAAAACAAATGAGGAAATTTCTTTAATCAGAGCACAGTATGCAAGGCCTTCTCAGAATAGTCCAAACTAATGCAGACTTGAATGTAAAATGCCTGTACATAATGAAAGAATGGTTTTGAAGAGTCCAGGGATGCTGATGCTCTGAAAGGCTGTGATTTCCCCATAACCCACCTGGTAGCTTTTGAACTCCATGCCTGTTCCAAAAATTGGCAGAGAGACAGAGATCTCAAAGACATATTTCACCTTGACATATTTCTTGAAAACTGGTGGGGCAATAAGGGAAGAAGTCAGCAGTACTGGGAAGGAGGAGGAGAGATTTGTCACATGGTCATGAAATATAAATCCATAGGGAACAAATCTACAGGAGTCCTGTTTTTTGTAAAATATGTTTATTCTCATTTACAATAGACTAGGCAAGAAAACCCTGCCAGAATTACATGTTTTGTTGTTTTGTTATTTTTTTAATGGTGATTTGCAATTGAATGTATGCTTCGTCATTATTTTGAGGAGACTTTGTTGTTTTATTTGATTTAAAAGTAAGCTTACTTACTTACCTGTGCAGTTTGGAGGTACTATTCAAGCACTGTTCTTTGCTCCATTGCATCAGTTTTATGCCATGATTTTACTGAAGACTCCATAATATGTGTCATATAGAGAAGCTGGATACCTTTGAAACTGGCATGCCAAATAAAGTATCGGGAGAACAGAAGACTTTTTTTCCTTGGAGTGGGGAGGCCTCTCATTTTTGTAATGAAACAATTTGGAAACATTCATAAGGTGGCCTCCATGCTGTAAATGGACTTTGGAAAGAGTAGAGGCAGATGATAAATCATGGTAAACCACGGAAATCACTTAATCTATGTGGGGGGCTGGTGAAGGGGAAGAACTGATGGCATCATGTCTTCTAGGGCAGATTATAACATCCCAACCAGGTTATAAACCCTCTTCCCCTTTTATGCAGCTTGGAACAGTAGACTCTTTCTTGTAAATGAGGTCTCCTTCAATGAAGAGTGTTGGGTAAGAGTCTGAATTAAGAACATGTGAGGAAAAACAAAAGAACGAAGCCTGTTTAATTAGAATGAAAGAAACTCCCCCCTCAAATCCTCCAATCCTAGTTTAGCAGAGCGTAGGGGTTGTTAAAGCTGAAGGGTCTGACTTGCTGACTTAGGTAAATGCAATGCTCAGCAGATGAAGTCATGCATAATTAATTGTTCTTTGTTGCATTCTTTCCAATGTAATGACTAGTAGCATTAAAGCTTATAATAATTGATGTTTTCTGTGTACTGGAGCTTCAGGACAGCCAATTAAGGCAGTGGAGGTGGTAACTGTGTGGCATCTCTGGCATCTGTTTGTTAGCAACATGTGTGCTATAACTTTTTTTTCTTTTCTTTACTTGTTTCTAGTGTCTAAAACAGTACATGCAGCTGGCAATTCAAGAAGGTTGTGGTTCTCCTATCACATGTCCAGACATGGTGTGCTTGAACCATGGGACTCTACAAGAAGCAGAGGTATCTACAATTTTTCTTTCACTCTCTTCTTTTTTTTTTTTTAACTTAAATCCCCCAAATTATCTATATAATGAATATGATCATACACTTTTTCGTCCCTTTAATTACCATTAATGAGCTTTTGGCAAGAAGCCTGACTGACAAGCGGAGTTAGAAACAAACAGATGTTTTCCAAGTGTTTTGCTCCTTTTTCCCTCCCTCTGTGCCTTGGGGAAAGGTTTACTTGGCACCTGGACAACCTCTGTATTACACATGCAGGTGACTTAACCAGAATACCCTGTGTCCCAGAATCGCTGAGCCTCCATTAGTATTGTCAGTTAAATCATATTTGATTTGACTGCAAACACTGGAATTCTTGCCTCTTTCTTAACTCAAGAACAAGAACTCGAAGTGATGGTACAAAAGGCCAGAATTTCTTTGTGTATGTTGATATTGGGCTTCAACAACCAATTTGTAGTCCAATATAAACACACAAGGATCTGTAGTTGTATGGCAAGAAAAGTATCTGCATAGCATTAGGTGGAAGTACATCTTAAGAGATACGAAAGGTGTCTTTGTTTGCACACCTGGCATGTTCACAGTCTCCCAGAGTAACTGGAAGGTTCGGTTTGCAAGTTAAGGCAGAGAAACTGGAGGGAAAATGTGCTCCTCAGATCTTCTTGCAGTGCTTGTCACAATGGGCTTGTAGATGGCTGTTCGATGGCCTCCCAGCAGTTTTCCAGGTGGCTAAGGGATTTTGGCTGGTTTTGTGTGTTCTCTCAGCATTTGGTTGCAGGAATAAAATCAAGAAGAATTAGATCTCCATCCCTGAACTGAAGAAAACCAGTTTGTCTTCTGGGTTCCCTTGAGCCCTGTGTAAACAAATGACATAACTGTGGCAGAAGTATATAATTAGTGACAGTGTGATTCCCGATACCAGAAATGTCTTTTACTCCAGAAAAATTCAGAATTTCCTCTCCAGCATCCATTTTGAACGCTGTGCTTAGCATGGGAGTTGCAACTATGTTTGTTATGGCATGCAGGCATATGGTGGAGCTTTTTTTTGGCTGAATCCAGCTACTGTGGAAAGTAGCCAGCTGTTTCCCTTTCCTCCTCTTTCTACACAGACACAGAGAGGGTGTAGCAATGTCCCTCCCATCCATCACACCAGATTGGAGGCATCTAGCCTCTATTGAAATGCATTTTTAAAAGAAAGTTAACAAATGCTAGAAGGAATTCTGCTCTGTTAATCCAGGGTTATGATGCTGTAGGAATTAAGAGAGATATATTTTCCCTTAGTAAAACAGGAGAACACTCCAGGGCATGTATAAATGGACCGCTAGCTTAATCCTTGGGTGTTTTGGGGGCTGAAAGCAAAACGACTAAACAATCCAAATGTGCATTAGTGTCCCGTGGATGAATGAATGTTCTGACACGCCCTTTTGGTGATGTGCTTGAAACAGAAGCCTTCTGCCTAAATAGCAAAAAAGTCCCCAACCTGGTTAAAATTATTGCTTATGTATTTTAACAAATACCTATTTATTTGAAGAAGAAAACCACCCAGAAAAAAGTGTGAACAACAGAAAGAATAGATTGACTCTATTAACAATCTGCAAGTATGTAATCTATAGATTATGTATGAGAACTCTCTATTCCTCTTTCTTCTCTATAAAGGCTGTTCCTTGTGAATATGTGGCCTTTTAAAGCTATTATTTAAAAACCTATAACCTTATCTCATGGTAGAGAATGTGCTTAAATATGGCTATTGTTTGGCATGGAAGTACCAGTTAGAATTACAGTTTACTCATTTCACACTCTTGGACTTGTGGTGTGAAAGTATGAGGCTTCTCACCTCTGGAGGGTCTGGATATTTGTTCTCTGGCTTCTGGCAGGACAAGGTTCCTCAGCAGGACAGTGCTGTGAGGAATGACAAGTTACCTGTACTGGGGAAAAAAAAAGAAAAGGTCTTTTTTTCGACTCTGTGATAGCATCAGTGTTTTGAAAAGGTGTATTTTTCATGTTATGTTCATTTCAGACTATGCTATGACTGCTGTTTATGAGGTACTGTTACAGTTTGGAGAAAAAATAGCAGTTCACACTGTCTTTGTCATGGCCATGGTGTTAAATTAGTTCCTATACTTCAGGCTAAATGCTCTTAATTATGTTAGCTAGCGCAGTTATTTTGTTTGCTTTTTAAAGTGCCTTTTGCCCTAGCCCACACAAGAGAGATAAAGGTCAATTTAGGCGTAATTTGAAGTGAAGGAAGGCCTTTTAATTGACTTTTGTGCGTTTTGGATCGAGCTTTCTTCAAGAAGGAAACTGACCAAAAATAACAAAGCTTATAAGCACTTATAACACAGTATAGCTATGAAAGTTCCTCTTCTTCCCTTTTTAAAAATCCTTTTCAAAGGTGTGTAACATTTCTTCAGTGCTTTCCAGTGACCTGTTTGTCTTCATCAAGACAAACCAGAATTAAGTCTGGTTTAGCCTCTCAGTAAAACTTTGAAGAGTTTAAATCTAGTTTGGTACTAAATTATTGGAGCTTTTTCACAGGTCTTGCCTTGCTTCTGGTTCATGTTCTTCTTCTGTTGCTTTTGGGGAATAGAGCAGGGCAAAATTCTGGTTAACATTTTAAACAAAGAATAGAATTTCTTTTTGTATATCACATGAAGAAATGAACAAGTGTAAATAGTAGGAATGTGTCTCTCTAATACAGTTGAATATTTCTTCAGTGTTTGGGGAGTAAACTGCTTATTCATAGAGTATTGGAGATGTTGGGAATTAAGGCTTTACTTTCAGTCTCTGCATCCCTCTGGACCCAAGAAAAAAAAAAATCCAGGTTTTTATTCTTGAAGTGCTGAAAGTGAAAAGTCATTTGCAGTAGAAAATGGTACTTTTCAGTATTTTGAAAATGTGTTTTCTGAAACTCCTCTGGTTTGTTTTTTTTTTCCTTTAACACAATCTTGTTGAAACTGGTATATTCCCCAGCTGTCCTTTTGTTTTGACAAATAGTGCATTCAAACAGAAGGAATTGTTCTGCCACAGTGCTTGAAATCAAGTGCAATCCTAGGTCATATCTTGACCTGTTACATCTAGATAGCAGCTGCTTGTAGTATAGCTGTCTTTAAGCAGAAATAAATGAGGGGTAGTCATGGTAAGACAGTGGTTTTGGCTACAGGCTCTGTTTCAAATAGCTGGTTACACACAAAAAAAGAAAGTTTAAAAACAGTCTTGTTAAATAAAATGCTTGTCCTTTCGAGCTCTAATGGTACAATAAATGAAGATAATTTGGATTCCTTCCTGGAAGCAGAAGGTAGAAGGAACGTTTTATGTTAATGCAGTTCTCTTAAATCGTGCAGACTTCTGTCTGGAATATTTCTGTCTCTCTTGGGAACTTGCTCCATTGATTTAATTGGACCAGTTAATACCCCTAATCTAAATAAGAAGTAATTTATCACAGTTTGAAATGGTTTTGCTCGATGTGAGTCCAATCACCAGTGTAAGCTATGAACCAGGATAAGTCTCCACTGCATACAGGGGTTTCTAATGCAATACTCACTTGGATAATGTCTAGGGGATTACGCTTTGCTCTTTCTGATTGGGATCAAAACTGTGAAGCAGTCAGCAAAGGAGGTACTGATTTGGGCCCTCCTTTTGCCTCTTAAGTTTGTAGAGAATTACCCCTTTGCATGCAGTGCAGATTCTGCTTATTGTCTCTCTGTCTGTGTAAATCCAGGATCTACACCAGTGCTAACCTGACAGAGGTTGTCAGCACTTTATGAAGTGATGCTGGGGTCACTTTGTACAGTGACCCAAATCTTAGAATTCTTAATTGCATTATATTCCATACATAGCTGAACAAAAATCCCACTGAGAGTCGGTTTAAAATACCAGTTTTATTTTTAATTTGAAAATTGGTTTACATTTTTCTGGGGGAGATTGAAATGGTAAAATGAGAAGGAATGTGAGAAAATGTTGCAGGCTGACATATCTTTTTCAGAGTCAAAATAAAAATGTTTGATCTTATTTACTCATTTTTAAATAAAATGAAGGAGAGCAAACGAGAACCTTAATTTTGTTTTTATTTGTCACTAAATAAGAGAAGAGCTCCTTAATGGAGAAAATGAATAATTTAGCATTCCTTTATCACTCTAGTGAGCATGGTAGCTGATGAAGAAAGCTGTGGGTGTAATTTCTAACAATAAAGAGATTGAATTCCCATCCCCCTTTCAAAAGCAAACCACAGCCCCTGTTGAAATTGTTTTACACTGCTTGCAAAACGAGACAGTGCCTCTGTTTGTAGGATTTTGGTAGAGGTGGACAATGCCACCCTTTTCAAACTGCTGTTGCTGCTGCCAGTGCAGGATCTGTCCTTGCTCCCTGTCTGCTCAAGTGACAGGGAGAAGCACTTGTCCTGGTCAACTTCTCTCCCTTGACATTATCAAGGTTTGATTCATGTGGGTGTGAAAGGAAGTAAGGTCTATTCAATTTTCTTGATTGCCTCCTTACATCTCCCTTGAAAGCCTGAGAATAGGTGGAGTAGTGATTTTCCCTTTCCACTGTGGTAGCCAGTGTTTAAAAACAGGGGAGTTGTTCTTCCTTGGGTCTTGGTTGCTGCACTGCCTGTAACAGTTTGCCCCTGTGTCAACTGAACAAAATTATTTTGAACCCTTTCATATTTCTTTCTTTGCTCTTTTGTCTTGTGTAGTAACAGCACCCCTCGTTATCATACCATGCTGGGTGATCTTTTTGGATGCTTAGCAAGGGTCCAGCTGGAGCCCTTTGTGGTAGTAAGCCTTCAAAACTTTGCTTTTTTCCATGGATATTTTTACTTTGAGTGAACGCTGCTGTTCTTAGCAAGAGCTCCTGTGTTTTCTTGTGCTCTATAACAAAGTATTTTAGCTGCAGATGTTGCTTACAGGATGTAGAAAATCAGAAAACTTATTTCAACTCCTAACAGTCTGATTAGTCTCCAGATATTTTCAGGAGAGGAGAGTCCTTGCCTCTAATCTTTCACTAAAACCCCCAATATAAAAAAAAAATCCCCCAAACTTGTCCTGTAGCATTTCTTCCTCTATTTCTGATGTGCTTGTGGTCTTTCTCTTTTGGCCCTTTGCCATCTGCTGGGTTGCTGTTTTGCTACCTCCCCAGATTTCCATCCCCTGACCAGCCCAGAGACATTTGTGGTTGTGCAGGAGAGGAATGGACACCCAGGTAGGGCTCGAGAAATTGTCTGGAGATGAGCATTTAGACTGATGCCAAGTAGGAGGAGATAAACACCAAATCCCCTTATCATGCTTATGGCTGTCCTTCTTGATTAAGTGTAAGTGAGATTAAAAGTTCACTGAGGAAAAGATTTGCTGTTTTGGTTTGGTTTGTTTTTTTTATTGGGACCTGATACTCATGTTTCTTTCTTTCTTTCTCCCTTTCTTTTTTTTTCAATTGAATCTGTGTGTACAGCTTTGATGTGGCACTGAATTCATGCAGCAGCAAATTGTGCATTCTTTTCCTTGTGCCTAAAAATACTAAACCTATGAGAGATTTCTGCTCAGCACCTCTCAGGTTGATGTCTGTGTGGGAGTTATCAGGACCTGGTCTTTCAAATCTGGGGAGAATTAGTGACAGGCTGCATGTGTTCAATACCAGAGCTGCATGCAGAGAGGGGGCAGCTGAGCTATGAAGAGGGTATGTAGGAAGAGGAGTGGGGCCAGGTGAAACCAGTGGGAAGGGCTGGCATGGTAAGCTCAAGTTTTCCATAGGAGAATGGGAAGCCTTTAGCACTGGCTCTGCTTCCTATTGAAATCTACAATAAAACTCCTGCGTCTGCTCCCACTGTAATCAAAAAGGCCGACTTTTAATACATGGGAAATTCTGGGCTTGATAGATCTGCTCTTGAAAAAATTGTTTGTTAAAAGCCAAAGCAAGCACAGAAAGACCCCAGACAACTAAACAATTCACTTGAGTGGCTCTTACAGCATTGAGACTTGCTGTTTTAGTTTAGTCTTAATGAAGGAAAATTTGAAGTAGTTGCCAATGCTCACCCAGCTAGAGAAACGCATATGACTCTTATTGTTTTCCAAACTATTTAGGTTTGAAGCTGCCCTGGGGAGGAGTGGGCAATACTGAAATAATGTCTTTGCTGAAACTGCCAAACTTCACTCCTTTTACTCTTTCATTTAGTTATTATTTATTTTCCAAGAGTGTTTTAGCTGACTTCTGATGAACAGGTGAAGAGTTTCCCAGGAAACTCTCTGTGTTTACAATCATATTAATGTAATACTGTTTCATATTAAAAACAGTTTTCATGCTAAATTCAGAAACTGAGTGAGGACAGTACTTTGACTGTGGGCAGATTTACTAGACTAAGAATATACTCTGTAAAGTTTTGTTTGTGTTTCTTATTTTGTTATTAAATCCTCTGATTTCTCCAACTATAAGCATCTTTTAAGCATCTTTGAACACTTAAATCCTGACATAATTTGTATTCATTTTTGTATAATACTGGCTTAGGTTAAATAAATGATCCAAGCGTCTGCTACAAAATGCAATGTTGTGCAATCAAGTTCAGTTGATTTGAGATCTTAATAAATCAATTTCATATTTAATAATACAAATGTATTTATTATTTTCTTTTAATTTATGAAAGGAAATGTGTTCACAGTATGATATGGAATATATATTGGATTTTTGTCATTATATTTCTTCTCATGAATACTGTATCACACAATCCAGAAGGGGAGCAAGGACCAGTGTCCACTTCACTGAAGGCAAATTTTGCCTTTTACAGTAATCTGAAGGATTGTAGTGGGTTACTGGATGAGAGTATCCCACTGAATGAGAGCCCTTGACTTCAAAGTTCCACACTGCCTCACAGTGCTTCAAATGATCAGGTCTTGTGTTAGTATCAGTCTGGCTTTATTTTCAGTAAAAGAGAAAGATATCTTCAGTGCTGGTACAATATTACAAACAGATCAGACAAAGAGAATGATCCCACATTCTGAATCCAACAAACATGTAGCTCCTGAAGTGTCTATGAAGTTTCTTTTGAATCCCTCCTTACCCTGGGTGCAGGTTTGCTTATTGGTTTTAAATAGGGCACTTGGTTTTCTTACGTAGACTGTTAATTGGAGATTAGACCATTTAGCCTTTCAGGCTGCTAGTTTAATTATGGTAATGTGTAAAATGTATCAGCAAAGCCTGATTGTCTATGCCAGCTAAATATGTTATCTTCAGTCCGGTTCCCAATAGGTTGGTGTGTGTCTAAGTCAAATTCCAACAGCAATGGCATTAGCTGCCTCAGCCCACACCCCATAAAGTGAATGAAAAACGGAAACCAGACTGGCTTTTATGTTCCTGAGAGCTAAGTGACCCCTACCATTAAGACTGGGAGACATGAATGAAGAACCATTCATTTGGGCAGTATTCTTGTGCATGAACAACATGCTGCAGTCTCCAAGGCTGGCAACATGTCACCCTTTGTTACATTAAACTAACATGAAACTGAAAAGCTTGAAATAAATACTGAATCCACAGAGAAGGCTTTCCTATGCATGATAAGAAAGATGTGGGCTCATCTACTAGGCTGTGTTGCTGAAACAGGGGAGGTCAAGAACTGCTTTAAGTTTTGGTGAAGGAGGTCAGAGTATGGAGGAAGGTGATGCTGAAAGCAAGCAGGAAAAAAAAAAAGTGGATTTGAGAGCCAACTCAGCAAAGCAGGTGTGTAGAACATCATGCTTATTAATTTTTTTAAGTCTGTGTTTCTAATGATTTTTCTGTGTGTTTGTTTCTCATTTCAGATTGCCTGTTTGGTGCCTGTTGACCAGTTTCAGTTGTACAAGAGGTTGAAGTTTGAACGAGGTGTGAACGTTTTTGTTTCTATTACCTTCCTTTTTACAGTGTCAGTGGAGGTAGCACTGCTACATACTGCAAAGACAAAGCCTGTTGAGTGAGCTGAGGAACAGACAGAGATGTCTTTGTTTTGAAATATTTTCACTAGGTCTCACTGTGCTCCAAGACAAATTTGAAGTTCTTTCAGTTTTGCAGAATCAACAAAGTGGCATCTTACTGAATTATCAGACTTTTACTCAGGCTTATGGGCAACACTCTCAGATTGTGAACCTGTGGCTCCATTGTTCTTCCTATAGCATGCTCATCCTGAGTGCTTGAGGTGGTGGTTGTACTGTTAGAATTAGACAGGCTGCTAGAGGCTGGTGCATGGCAGGGCACACAGTCCTTTTGTACGTCCATAGGGATCTTCAGAACTTCTGAGGGAGACATACCCTGAAGTGCAATGTGGATTTTTGCAAGCATCACTGAAAAATAGATTTTATTGTGTAGAAGCCTCATGTGTGTTCATCTAGTATAGTTGCTCTTTTTTTCCAGAGGAATAATAGGTCCCCTCATAACTGAGTAAAGCCTATTAGTAAAGAAATTTGAAACTGATGGTCTCACTGGGGCCAAGCTTTTCTATTCCCAGAGGTCAGCCTTCTGCATCTGGAGATGGTTCCTTGCCAAGGCTGAAGAAGAAACTTGCTAGTTAGAAAGATGAGATCCCAGTCCTGCTTCTAAAGACCGACACCAACTTGAAAGTCTCATTTGGAAGCTGAAGTGTTTTTCAAGGGACTCACTTCATGGTAGTTTGCAGACTGGTGTGTCTGGGACTGATCTGCCCTAACTCTGCCTATTTTCAAACTTTCCTTGAAAGACTGTGCTTATGTTCTTGCTTTGCATACATGCTTAGATGCAGGTGGACTAGGAATGTGTAAGACAGTGCAGAGGTTTATAAAAATTAGGTAAAGTAATGCACTTGTAAAGATGGTCATATAGAAGAACACATAGGTTTTTATAGGAACTAATCTGGCATGAGTCAGATGACTGCATGAGCACGAAGTACAAAAACTTCAGAATGGGGCATGCTGAAATATGCCCCAGAATTCATAGGAGAGTGCAGATTTTAGCTATGATTTGCAGGCACTCAGGCCAGAAAAAAAAAAAAAGAAAAAAATCCCAGTCTTTGCTTTCATTTTTTATTCCTCTCTCCTATTATACCACCTTCTCATTTTTCTTTAATTCCTTAGCAAGTCCCTCTGGTCCCTAAGCCCATTGGTGGCTTATCTACAGTCCTAGACAATGGAAATCGGAGCTTGTTAAATTACCATATTAAAGAATTAAGGAAGAGAGACATTCTTGCAGTACATTAATCTGTTTTATGTAAAACCTTTTTTAACTGAAGACTCTGAAACGAATGTTTTCTGGTATCTCCTCTATAACTAGCCAAAGCTGAACTCATGATCTTCTGTCCAACTCACTGTTACATCTCTTTGTTTTACTGTCTCCCACACACAGAAGCCTGAAACTTGTCTATTTTTAAAATCCTCCTTCCCTTTTCTTTCTTGCTTAAGTCTGAGAAATTCTCCTCTACCTCTGCTACCTCTCTTCATCATGATTCTAAGATCTGTCCTTGCTCCTTTATAGTGAGTAAAACTCGTATCTAAGCAGCAGATTTGGACATAGCTTTTTGCCTTGCTTATTGGCCCCGACAATAAATCCAGCTTACTGATGTCTGGGAACAACAATTCCTGCTAGCTAAAGCTCTGACCTGGGCACCCAGCACTAATACCAGCCCTGGCCAAGACCTTTTGCCTATCCTGGATTTAGCTTTGTCCCCAAGGCTGACCCCATTTGTGGACTCATCAATTGGACTTGGCTTATTAGCTTCTGCTGGCCTGAAGCTCTGTTCTCAGACCTGGGCCTCATCTGCCAAAGCCTGCTTGCCCTGACCAACGAGAACACTTGTCTGCCAGTCTTCTTCTGAAGCTAGCAATAAACCTGGATGATAGCACCTGCTGGGGAGAAATTCTGACCTGGAATCTGTCCAGGGACTCCCGGCAGCCTGAGATCTGTTGTGTGTCTTATGTCTGTGTCGGCCTTAGCACAACCTAGCCTTTTTCAAACCTAGCCCCCTTCTCCCTTAAAATAGGGGGATCTAGGGTGTCCTTCATGACTTTTGTTCTGATCAACAAAGCCCTTTAACTTCCTCTATTTAGACCCTTCTTCTCTCAGTTTTATTCAGTTGAGATATGGACTCTTTGCAGAGTGCACTGACAATATGCTGTTCTCTTGTGGGTTTTGTGTTCTTAGAATGCAAATATTCTCAGGCTTTAAAACAAGCTTTCTCACATATCTGTATCTTCTCTACATCCGGTTAGGGCCAAGCCACAGAACTTATGCGCAGAATATTTTAGTAGAAGAAATAGGAATTGCTCTATGTCTATTAAGGATGGGGCTGATGTCAGCCCCTATCAGAAGTAAAGAAATAGAGGAATAGTATGTGGTTAGGACAATGCACTATGTTTCTGTTTCTGTGACAATTGTCCAGTTGTGGTGGATGATGAGAATCTCCATCTTATACCTGATGGAAATGCAGTCCATTTTAAAAGGAGGTGTTCCTAATATTCTGTGAAATAGAATCATAGACTCATCCTTTTAATGAGTACCTCTCCTGAGACAGAAATTCTTTTGTTCAGGGTGCTGCATTTCCCTTGTCTGCCTCCCACATCTGACCTGCCTGCTCACATATTTTATGAAAAATGGCCATATCCCTGCCCAGTACTGGCATTGTTTGGGAAGACTTTCCTCCTGAGAGTGGAGTGCATTGTGGCTGAACTGGCTGTGGGGAAGCAGGGGAAAGTCTTGGAAGAGAAATAGCCCTAACCAAAAGATGGAGCAACTTGTCAGAGCAGGATGATAGCCTCTTCCATTTTTTTTGATTGAGTCTTTTTAGATTTTTCTGGTTTCATTTGTTCTCCATGATAAACCAAACTGTATGAGACAGCATGGATTGGAAAACACTATCTGTAAGTTCTTTGTAAAATGGAGGAAGTGGGAGAGGAGGGAGTTTCATCTCA